TGAGCGGCAGCTCAGATATGGTTTGACCTAATCGGGGGGTGTGTTTATAATGATTTTAATGAACGCTCAAATTGTAAAGTTCATCGAAGCAACTACATAAATTAATGATTTAATTCATTATTTGATTGCACTATTTGGAAGATAGGTTAATAAATGTGAAATTAAAATAGCTAGCGCAATAATTCTGGAACGAGCTTGTTAGTGGAATCAGAGTTGTGTGTTCCCCTACTTGAATAATTAAATTGATTTAATCTGAACTAATGAAATAAATTGGAAAGTAAATTAAGTGAAATCAAAATCCCTAGTAGTTTAATTCTTGATTTCTTGTTAATCAATTTTTTTGTTTAACTTGACTCTTGTTTTATTTTAAGCATTTTTATAACAACAATTCTCTCAATTATGCGTGTTTAAATAATAATGAGATAGATATAATTTTGGTACTTTGGATTACAATTCTCGGGGAGACGGATAGTCTGTACTCATCATATATTACTCTGTACGCGATTCGTACACTTGCGAAATAAGATGTCACTCGGTGGCCTGAGGTAAAAATAGAAACGACAGGCAATAGAAACTGAATATAATATAATTTTGGTACTTGGATTACAATTCTCGTGGGAACGATATCTTACTCATCATATATTACTTGTAGCGATTCGTACACTTGCGAAATAAGATGTCACTGCTGAAGGTAAAAATAGAACGACAGCAATAGAAAACCTGAGTTATCAAAATAAACTTGAACATAGACAAGTTACAAAGTCATATTTGGGTGCTCAATACCTAATAATTGGCCTTTTTTCACATTTTTTTCATCACCTGTTTTCTGAAAAACAAGCTGTTAAAATAAAGCAAACCCAAAACAAAAGTGATATTATACCAACATGAGTGTTTTAATATGGTATTAGCAGAGACAACTCTGCACCTTTGAATTTAGCTGTCTTTACCTTTTGTGCACATGCTTCTCGACTTAAAACAGCTTAGTCTTTCAGGTGAAACTAGTACTTCAAAGTTTAGCATGTCACAAAACCATATCTGCACTATTCTAGTTTTGCAATATAACTACTTCAAAGGCCACTATTTATGTTAATGTGGTATTTCTTTTATTATTTTTATATAGCAAGATCAAGACACAACATAAACCAAGATTCAAGAAAAAAAAAATATTATTATTATTATTATCATTAATTATGTTACTATACAAACAAATACAGAGAGCTACCTCTAAGGGAATCCTTTTAATATTATTGAGCCACACCTCCTGGCTCCTTCTTTTTGTTGACTATGGCTACCAATTAATTAATTAATTAATTAGTATAATGTTATATTTATATATAATACCATCTTTTTTTACCAAAAAATTGGCGCAATGATATCTAACCCATATGTTTCAAGAATAATATAGTAGTAAGAGTAAAATAAACTATAACTCTCTCGAATAATCCATACACATACTTGACATTGACATCATAGATGGCGTTACTAGCAAATTTTTCAAAAAAAATTAAAAATAAAAAATATTTTCATTGAAAATTTAAAGCTAAAAATAAAAAATAATTTTATCTTATTCAGATATAATTTTAATATATTTTCACATCTTGTAAGGAATGAAGAGGTTGAATATAAAAACACTCTTACTGAATTTATAGATTAAAAAAATATTTTTATGATTTTTAATTTCATTAATCGAAAAAATAAAAATAATATAATTTGATTAGTTACGTTATTTCCTATCTAAATTTAAGACAATCAAATTTCTAGTTCCGATTCCCTTGTTCAGTAGCGATTAAGGTTCAGAATTCCATATATGCCCTTTACCTTTTATCATTTGAGAATTCCATATCTCTCTTTTCTTTAACGAATCAAAGCATATTTTAGTGCTTTCTATTTTTCCCCCTTTTTTTTTTTTTTTTACAAATCCAATCAAACTCCACTGTCTTCAGTTCGTGGTTGACGTCCAACACAGATAGAGTTTGGCCAGTATGTGTTATGATTACTGGCTAACATGTAACCTTTTTCTATTTACATGTCGTTCGGTCCAAAAGCGACAAAACAAGCATATTTGATAAAGATTGGATTTTTATTTTTATTGTCCTTCGGTTGGTGCAAAAATTGGAGTTTAGTTGGAAAAAATGGAGCTAGTTGGGTGGTATCGGTGGTAGTGGCGACACCTTTAAGATAAGGAAATTGGTGGCCATGACATTGACAACATGAAATGAAACTTTGCTTCTATAGCAACAAAATAAGCACGAATGAGTGACATGACGATGATGGAGCGGGCTCTGCATCATAAATATTTTCAGGCTTTTCAGTTTCAGTTCACATGATTGTCAGAAATTCCAATTAAAATTTCAACAAACCAATTAAAATTCTAAATCTTCTCTTCGCAAACCTGCCTTCCATTACCCATGTCGGCTCCATAATTATTATGTAATTTTCATTAGATCTTCTCCTTTTAAAGAGTTGGTGAGGCCCCAGAGCAGATTTATTAGTCCTCCATTCAACAATTACCTTCCCATGATCATGCTCTCTATTCCCTTGTTAATGAGAAGTACAAGATGATGCAACCAAAATCCAGAACCAGTCATGCTTCGTCAAACACAAGAATCCAATTAGAAACATGCAAAAACTGTCTGTTACCCAATAAAAATATAAACTCCACTCAAAAATAAGATTCTCCAAAGGAGAGAGAGAAATTTTTTAATATAGAAAGGATCAAATCAATAATTAATATTCCTTCCATTTCATTCAAACTATTTTCCTTCATTTGTTTTGTTGGAAGGAAAAGAAAGTAAAATTCAATAACATAATAGTACAAATAATCACTAGATCAAAATCCAATAGATTAGCAGAAATTACAAGAGAATGCAAAATCCAATAGCTTGCTTTTAGTTTCTTCTTCTCCTTTGATCTATCTTTATTGGTGGTTTATGAATGGGGTCGCATCTATACCCAAATCAAACACTAATGCTTTGTATGGATGAATGGAGGATGTAAAATGAGAGTGTAAAATAGTACTATTCATTTTTTCTTATTATTTTAGGCTCTTTGTTTGGTTTAGAGGGACAATAAAAAGATGGGAGTAAAATAAATTTATTTTACTTAGTTGCATCTTTATTATTTTTGTTTTCCTCTCATTTTGAAAAGTAAATTGGAGGTCGTAAAATAAAGATATTTTACATTCACTCCATATTTTACCTCCTTCCCAAACAAGGTATTTTGCAAATCCCAATAAACTTTTGCTTGTTATTTTACACACCTCCTTATTTTACATCCTGAGCAAACAAACTCTAAGAAATCATTGCATGATGTTTGTGACGATGAGATCTCCATTTTAAATTCAGTTTTCTTTTAAAGCACCTTCACTGTAAACCTTTTAAATTTTTTTTTAGCTTAAAATAATTTTACGACACGCCTTTTTTGTTTGTCATTTGCATGTGCGTCGACCCAAGCTAAAAAATGGGTAAATCGATCCCATCCAATTTTTGTAAGTTAATGAGTTTTTTGGAAAAAAAAGTTTAAAAATTGGGGAATTGAATATTGGATGCAAGTTCAGGGGGCAATTTGAATATTTTTCCTAGTTTTTTTATCTCCATAATCTAGATTGTATCCTTTTTCATTTCATTATAAAATTTAGAAATCACAATAACTTTATATACATGTTTAAATAATTGTATTATAACTTTTAATTACTAATATTATAATTTTTCTATCATAAAAATCTTTATTATTTTAAATGAGTACAATCATGTTTTCTTTAAACAAAAAAACTATCATCATGTTTAAAGTTAATTCAAAAAAAGAATTAAATTAACATTTTAAAAATAATAAATTTTGATAAATCTCTTAACTTGGGTAGGTTCTGGTTGGTCACGAGCTCGGTTTGAATTGAAACTAAAACAAAATCAAATCATACTATAGATGAATCGAAATTAGATCAGAACTGTCGATTCAATATTGACAGTTCTGCATTTTGAATTGAAACTGGCGGTTCATAGACAGGTAAAATTCATGTCAATGTTAAAAAAAAAAAAAAATCTGAACTGCCTGGAACCAGCGTTTAACCTGTGGTTCTTGTCTAGTTTAAACTAAAAATTTTATTTTTATTTCAAAAAATTTATGATTACTTAGTCTATACTCTGCATCTCTATAAGTCTAAATAAATTTATTATTTTGTAATACACTTGACTTAAAAAGTTAAAAGTCTAAAAAAATAAACGTGGCAAAAAATTGAAGTACTTAATCTAAAATTATATTGTTTGATACAAATGTGAATTTAACGTTTTTTTTCTTTCTAAATGTTTTTACTTAATCCAAAACTATATTATTTGAAGTATTTTTCAAATCTTTCTAACAATTTATTAATTAATAACATTTAGATAAAGTTAAATAATCATTTATTTGATTATTTTGTATTTATTTGTAAAATTAGTAAATTTTATTTTATATGAATATGAGCATTTTAAAAATTATTTAAAATAAATTTACTAACAATTTTCAAATTCACATTATTTTTTTCCGGAAAAAAAAAATATGCAACCTAGAATGAATTTCTATTTTTTTAATTGAAAAAGTCATTGGCATATTGGTTGAATTTTAATTGAAACCGTGGATTCATTGATATTGCATTAGAACCGATTAAAAACAAAATGGATTATCAAGAGCCGATTTAAATTTAATATTTTAGAAATTTTGAACTGTAGAACGGGTTCAATGAACCGGCACAATGCAGAATTCTAGCTTTAACTGGGGGAGGGAAATTGCTTGCCAGCACATTGCTGATAACATGAAATGAAGATTTTACAGCCACAAAAACTAAGCATTTACTCATCAACTAGCCACTACTCACAGCGTGGGTTTACCTGACAAGTGACAACCAAAATATATATTATTTAAAATTGAAAAATCATTTATAATATATGATTTTACATTTTTTTAAATCTAAATTATTATTATTATTTTCTAAAATTTTATCTAAAACAGTGAAAAATTTGGCAAGTCTATAAATACTTAAAGAATTTAGCATTGCTCAACAATATCTTTCTCTTAGTCACGGTAAGAAACTACCATAAACATGGCTTCCAACTTCAGCTTCAAGAGGGAACTTAACCAGGTAATTAACTTATACTTATTCTTCTTGATAGACTAATTATAAATGTAACAAGGTAATATTAGGTTCCGTTTGTTTTTGAAAAATAATTTATTTTTAAAAAATATTTCAATGTGACTTTTAAATTTATAAAGTTATATTAAATTTGTCAATGTCCGAAAAATATTTTGCTTTCTTAAAAATAAAAAATCATTTTCCTTAAAAATGGGAAGTCAATATTTAAACATGATAATTCAATATTTCTATAATATTATTTTCTTGAAAATGTACTTTCTTAAAATAATAATTATTCATAGAAATGTTGAATTCCAGCACCTAAACACTTCTGAAAGGAGATCAAGAAATTTTTTATTATTTCTAAATATGATAATTTAGTATTTCTATAATTATTTTTTAAAAAATCTATTTTCTTAAGCGAATTTTTATAGAACTGTTGAATTCTTTGTAACCAACACTTATTTGGAAACTTTTATAAAGTATAGTATTTTAGGATTTCATATTTTATGCTTTTTTTTTTTCATTTTATCTTTTTTTTTCTGGTAAAATTTTTGGTTTCATTCATAATATGAATAAGCATATAGATCGAATTTAGGTAAGTCAAAGAGCTATATCTAATAGCTTATATAAGAGGCTAAGACCAATTTTCTTTGTTTTTTTTTAGTAAAAACACTAATTTTGTTCTTTTTCCCTCAAATATAATTATTAATATCTTACATCTTTGTTCAAATCAGGTATTATTCGAAGGAGATTCACATTTTAAAAAGGTGATATTGAATAGACCCAGAAAATTAAATATTCTCAGTTATGAAATGGTATGTAATATAGCTAATTTTCATCTTTTCAATAATCATTTTACAACTATTAAATGAAAATAAAAATGAATATTAGCTATATACTTATTATAAACATTAACTAATTAATATCTTTTATTTCTTTTCAGATTTCTCAAATGTTAACAAAGTTCAGAGCTTTTGAGACCGATCCTACTATCAAATTTGTAATTTTGAAGGTAAAAATACACACACATACACTATTACTGACTAAAACTCTTTATTATTTTGCAAATCCATTAATTGATTCTATAATTTTTTATTTTCTTTTCAACAGGGAAATGGAAAGGCATTTTGTGCTGGCGGTGATGTCGTTTCATCTCTTACTGCAATTATCGCTGGTGAAGATTTATGAATCTCTTTAGTAGTTAATATTAGGATTTTACAACATTAATATTTTATTAGGAATTTTAATATATTTCTGTTCTTTCAGGACACTGGAGTTATGGAGCAAGATTTTATGAGAAACAGTTTAACTTGGATTACTTACTTGCAAGATATTATGAGAAACAGTTTAACTTGGATTACTTACTTGCAAGATATTATGAGAAACAGTTTAACTTGGATTACTTACTTGCAAGATATTATGAGAAACAGTTTAACTTGGATTACTTACTTGCAATTTTCGTTTCTATACCAGGGGAAATGGAATAGGCATTTTTTGGTTTCTGGGCGGTGATTCGTCTCATCTGCTTTACTGGCATTTATTCGCTGTGGAGTATTTTGAATCTCGTTAGTAGTTAATAGATTTGAGATTTTACAACATTAATTTTATTAGGAATTTTAATATAGTTTACTGTCTTCAGGACTACTGGAGTCTATGGAGGAAAGATTTTATGAGAAACAGTTTAACTTGGATTAACTTACGTTGGCACTGATTAAAAGACCTTGTGGGTTCCAGGCCAAAGTGAATGTTACAACATTATGTTTTAAAGATTAATGTAGATCTTTGAAAATTTTTTTTTTTTTTCATCCATCTGCGGATTTTTTAATTTTTTATTTTGGAGTTGCATAAATAAGAGATCCAACTGATAGATGGTATTGTTAATGGAGGTGGTGCTAGGATTGACTGTATGCATGGAAGGTTTAGAGATTGTCCACCTGAGAATGCCTGTAAGTTTTCTTTTTTTTTTTTTTTTTAAAACTCATTTTCAAAAGATTACAACAAATTTAAAAAATTGACAGAATATTGCACTTTGATAATACTTGTAAATTTTTTGTAGGTATGCATATCTTAATTTTTATTGTTCTCATGTTAAATTTTATAGGTATTTTTTGCAATGGCCGAGAAGTTCACAATGAGCTGTTTCCCTGATAGGACTTTTCCCTGATCTAGGGGCATCACATTTTCTTTCTAGGCTTCCTGGGTATTTTGGTAAATTCCTGTCTTTCTATTAATTCTTTTTTTTTTTTCTTTGTTAATTGTGTTAGAAATCTGAGGTGCAATAGGATATCAAGGATCAGTGATTAAACCTTTGGTAAATTATGATGGTCTCAAGTAAGAGTGAGCAAACAGTGATTTCGGTTTGACCGATTCAAATCAAGATTAAAAAAAATATATAAAACTGAATTTTGTTGAACAACACCGAATTAAACCGAAATTGATATTTGAATTGTACCAACTCGAACTGAACCAGTCAATTTTCTTCAATTTTACTATCAGATACAATGTATTATACAAGTTGTATTATGGTAGTAGTTATAACAATATCCAAACTTTTTAATAGCAATATAAAACTTATTAAGGGCAGCCCAACTCAAAAGGGACATGAATATATATTTTATAAATAAATAGTTATAGATGGAGGAAATGAACCTAGGACTTTGAATCCCAGGGTTTTTTTTTTTTTTTTGGGCCACGGGGTTTTTTTTTTTTTTTTTTGGGGGTTTTTTTTTTTTTTTTGGGAATACAATATGAATAACTATGGTGTATGCTTATAATTATGTTTTTTTTTTTTTTTTTTCAAATACTATTTTTGGCAATCTAATATTGCTCTATTTGGCACAGGGGAATATTTAGGGCTCACCGGAGCAAGAGTTGATGGAGCAGAAATGTTTGCTTGTGGCTTGGCAACACATTTTGTTTCCTCTAAAGTAATTAGTTCTGACTATGAACAAATATGTTGTTTCATGCACTAAAAATTTTTGAATGGAAGGAGAATCTCAACTATAACTTATGATATTTATATTATGAGTTTGGTACTTATCTATTAAGTATTAAAATAAATTATTAAATCCATGTCTACTTTATCTTTTACTTATGAAATAATTTATTTTTTTATAGGATTTGCTTAATTTGGAAAATGCACTCGAGATACAAACATCTTTGGAGATGACAAAGATTTATAAAGTTATTGAGAAGTTTGCACAAAATCCAAAAATAAAAGAAGATAGCCCTTATAACAGGTGATTCATTTCAGAAATATAGTTAGACGTGGCGGTTTTAGTGAATCCGCAAATTTAGTTTTGATAATGGCCTAGTTTTGTTATCAATTTTCAGTCTTGATTATGGCGTAATTTTGATTGAATGGGTGATTTTTAGTTCATTGGTTCTCAATAGTTGAAAGGCGAAAACTAAAATTAAACGGGTGAAATAATTTTAGTGCTAACAGTATTCCTTTATCATCTTGATTTTATGAATTCTAATTCATCTTTGCCTTTTTCCTTGTTAATTAGATTGGAGATTATTGACAAATGTTTCTCAAAAGATACAGTTGAAGAGATCTTATTAGCACTTGTAAGTATAAAAAATAAATATTTATTGTATAACCCAATATTTAATTTAATATATATTGTGTTATTTAATTAAATAACTATCATTTCAAGATTATGAAATTTATATAAATAATCTATTGCTAGAAATTGATTTGCTACTATACAGACTATTTCTTATTTGATCCTAATATCTTCACTTATTGCAGGAAAACGAGGTCAAATTGAAAAATAAAGCAGAAAATTGGATTATAAAGGCAATTAATTCTATGAAATCAGCTAGTCCAACGAGCCTTAAAATTACTCTAAGATCGGTAATCTCTTTATCTTAAATATATTTAATTGTATCATTTGAATATTGTAATTTTCTAATTTTTTATCTATATTTTCAGATCAGAGAAGGACGACAACAAAATCTAAAACAATGTTTTATTCGTGAATATACAATTTGTTGCAACATTGTTCGAGCAACTGCTGGTAGAGATTACTTTGAGGTAACATATTATTTAGAGTTCATTATCTATATATAATTAATAGTTCAGAGTACATATGAAGTTCAATAACTAGGTTTGAATTCAATTTATTAAGCTTATCAAAAGAGTTTTGAGCATCTCACAAGCAATTAACTTATTTATAGCTTTATATATATTGAATTCTTTTAGTTATTTCTGATTATTAGATATCTCTACAGGGTTCAAGGGCTATGTTTTTTGATAAAGATAAAAAACCAAAGGTAATTCAAATAACTTTTAATAATTTATTTACCGTTGAAGATATATTTAATGTCAAAAACATATATACGTTAAAAATTGATTTAATATATACACACAATTTTTTACTAAAAACTTTTTTTTTTTTCCTCTTGTTTTTATCTCTATGTAATTGAAGTGGGAACCTTCAAAACTAGAGCTAGTGAGCAAGGATATGATAGATCGCTGTTTCAGTGCAATTGATGAGGATGATTGGGAATATCTAAAACTTCCATCAAGATCTGATACTATGGAAAAAATATTGCAGCCTAGACTTTGAAGTTTGAATGCTACAGACCATCAAATATTAAAAATTAAATAACTATTCTATAACTATTATTGCAGAGCTTAATGTATGGTATATTATTAATTACATTGAGGCATTTGGTTTGACAGAAACAGTAGGTTCTTCAATGGATATGTTTGTATTGGCACTTCTATGATAATTATTTGGAGATTATGGAAATTTCAATCAATCCTCAAATGCGTCTTGAATTTCTATCTTGAAAAACCAATATAAATGTAATAGTCTCATCTTAAATCTTTTCTCAAAAGTAATCTAAGTATAAGACTAGTCCATGCTAGAAATAAATTTATATCCTATATTGAAGACTGGCATAAGAATTTGCAACCCTTGCTAATGCATGAGCAGCAAAATTGACTAGTCTTCTTAATTTTACCCAAACAACCTTAACATTGTTACGTGAAGAAAACAAAGCTGCACAATCTTATAATTATACAGTCTCGTTCAGATTTACCAATAGAAAGATTATTAAAAGCATTACACACTTTCTGTCTAAAAAATTAAAAGGGTAAAGATGCATTAGACAAGAGGTCAGAACCCATAACATGAAAATGCATGCTGTAAAAAATTAAAAGGGTAGAGGTGTATTGAATAAGAGGTTAGATTAGAATCCATAACATGAAAATGCGTGATGTATCTAAGAGGTTAGAACCTATAATATGAAAATGCATGATGTAGGCTTACTTGGACTTAAGCCAAAAATCCTAAAAAATTAGTACTAACCAATTTGATAGCTAGTTTGCCACTTCTATAAGCTCTTTTGGATTTGCTATTTAGTCGATGTAGGATTCTTAACGCTCCTCTCAAGACGCTAGTAATTAATAAAAAATTGAAAATAACTCCCCTCAAGACATTAGTAATTAGTAAAAAATTGAAAATGAGATGAGAACTTATTTAGATTGGGGCCAACCAATGCTAAAAAATTAGTACTAATTAAATAATTAGTTAACCAGCTTCCAAACTTTATAACCTTTTCTTTAGATTTACTATTTAGTCGACGTGAGATTCTTAACATAATCAATGACTACCATAGTAATCATTTGACTTTGAACCCCACCAAAATGGGTTTAATATATGCTTGAACTCCATACAAGATGTGATAGGAATCATGAATACACTCATACAATATAAAGGCAAAACTTATGCAACACCTTTAATAAGAATCTGTTTTCCTGCTTTGGATAAAGATCTTCTGTTCCAACCTTGAAGCCTACTCCAAAGACAATCTCTATTGTAACCCAAAAACTACCCTTCTATTCTTTCCAATCAAAGATGGTAAACTCAGATATCGGCCATGATTCAAAGGAAAAAAAAACTTTCAAAATATTGGAAATAGAGGTATATAAACTCATAGACACTGGAAGAGAAAAATATACCTGATTTCTAGAAGTTAACATATTGGTCCAACATCGATTCATAGGTTTGTAAACAGCTTGTACCTTCAAACTCTCCCTCTTTGAGGCTCAGAAAAAAAAGAAGTTAATATCATTAGCGAAAAGGAGATGAGAAACACTTGGAAGGCTTCTTTCATAAACCTAACTCTTCAAAACTTGTGATTCATACAATTAATCTTTAAATAAGTTGGGAAAATTTATAAAATCAGTAGAAGAAAGTTCGAATTGGCTCACCCTTGCAATAGAGTTCACCAGCAACTGCGAGAATCTTTGAAGGTGAGATTGCAGCAGTTTAGCTCTTCTTTTCCCTCAACTAATTTCGCGAATAGGAAAAGCAAAAATAAATAATGAAGGCTGGGTGAGATTACACAATTAGAAGCAAGCCAAAACCTCTCTTCTCTAGCCTTGGCATCACAGGAAGTATGATTGTGAATAGCGGCGGATCCACCAAGTAAAGAGGGGGTTCAATTGACTCTTTTTTTTTTTTTTTTTTTTTTTTCTCTCCCTCTTTGAGGCTCAGAAAAAAAAGAAGTTAATATCATTAGCGAAAAGGAGATGAGAAACACTTGGAAGGCTTCTTTCATAAACCTAACTCTTCAAAACTTGTGATTCATACAATTAATCTTTAAATAAGTTGGGAAAATTTATAAAATCAGTAGAAGAAAGTTCGAATTGGCTCACCCTTGCAATAGAGTTCACCAGCAACTGCGAGAATCTTTGAAGGTGAGATTGCAGCAGTTTAGCTCTTCTTTTCCCTCAACTAATTTCGCGAATAGGAAAAGCAAAAATAAATAATGAAGGCTGGGTGAGATTACACAATTAGAAGCAAGCCAAAACCTCTCTTCTCTAGCCTTGGCATCACAGGAAGTATGATTGTGAATAGCGGCGGATCCACCAAGTAAAGAGGGGGTTCAATTGACTCTTTTTTTTTTTTTTTTTTTTTTTTGTTGGGAAAAGTTTATAAAATCAGTAAAGAAAAGTTCGAATTGGCTCACGCCTTTGGATGCAATAGAGTTCACCAGGCAACTGCGCGAGAATTCTTTGCGTAAGGGTGAGATTGCAGCAGTTTAGGCTCTCTTTTTCCCTCAACAATAATTTTCGGCGAAATAGGGAAAAGCAAAAAATAAATAATGGAAAGGCTTGGGTGGATTACAAAACAAATTAGAAGCAACCAAAAACCTCTCTTCTCTAGCCCCTTGGCATCACAGAAGTAAAATGATTGTGAAAATAGGCGGCGGATGCACCAAGTACAGAAGGGGTTTCAGATTGACCATCTTGTTTTTTTTTTTTTTTTTTTTTTTTTTTTTTTTAGAATGGTTCTAAGTAAATAGTATGTAACTATTGTCAGCAAATTAATCCAATAAAATTTTTAATTTGTTTATATTTTTTTTAAAGTTATCCTTTTTTTTCTTAAAATTTTTTTTTTTTTTTTTTTTTTTTTTAATTTTCTAATAAATATATGTAATTTGTCCAAATTAATCCATAAAATTTAATTTGTTTATATTTTTTATCCCTTTTTTTTTAAAAAATTATATATTAAATCCGAATAAAATATTTCTAAATCAGCCACTGGTTATTAGTAGAAAAGGGATGAAGGGATGGCGCGATTGGAGACAAGGGAGAGATGATGAAAATTGGATGTCTCGCTCTTTCTTTTCCTACTAAGTAAAAGACGGTTTGTGCCATTTGTGGTTCGGTTCAGTCAAAACAATAAGTTCACTTGGATTGTTTTTTTCTTGGTTTATGAAGTTGTATTTGGTTTTTCATTAGTTAGAGTTTTATTTGATTCTTGTTTTTTGGCTTTAGCTAGTAACGTGTGCTAATGCAATTGTTAGATTATTCAGAGCAATTAAAATATAATTTTAATTTGGGATATGATATTAAATAGTAATATTTTGGATAGCTCATTGGCAAAAACTAAGGGTTGATCATCGTAGCTTAAATTATGAATTTGATCTTTCGGCGACGCAAACTCTCTCAAGCCAGCCCTTTGCCTCCAGAAATGAACTGGAATTAGTGGAATGAGTCTAGATAACTCGTGAACGTATCCAATCAATATAAAAGTTTTGAAATTTATTTTATGGACTGTTTCAAAAAAAACAAATCTAATTAAAATATATTTTTAATTATTCTCATCAAATTTTGAATATTTTATATATTTTGGTAAAAAAACAAGTGCTATTAGTTTTGATTCATTTTGGTTATAATCTAGTTAATTCCGATTGAAAATTTGAAATTCATCGATTGATATCAAAATCATCATTTACTTAAAATAATTATTTCATTCTAATATATACATAAAGAAAGAACAAAAGAATCACGACTTTTTAAAACTTGGTCTCCTTCATATAGAAAAGAAACAAAAAAATCATTCTAAATCAAATCAGCATTTTGAGTTCAACCTTAACAAATTTCTATCTTAACTCAAAATTCTTTAAACATGTAATCTTCCATTCTTTAACATTTTAATTATCAATACTCCAACTCTAAGCTTAAAACTTTTCGATTACTCGATCTTTAACTTTTAACCTAAGGTGATATTGAATGGGCCAAACAAAGCCTCAATCTCTATATATATAATTTTGAAATAAAAAAAATTTCAAAATGCTGACGTGTCGCTCTCCTTTCTCAATATTCTATTTTTCACTGTTTTGAAAATTTTTGAGTTTTTTCTTTTTTCTCTTTATGTTTTTTATTTTGATTGGATATATATTGAATTTTTTCTTTTTTTCTTCTTTATGTTTTTTATTTTGATTGATTATATATATATATATTTATAATATATAATAGTAATATATAAAGTCTTCTCATCTAAATATATATATTAAAGTCTTCTCTCTAAATAGATCTATACCATGTTCGAATTTTTTAATTTTACTTTATTTTACTATGATTTGATTGGACTTAATACTCCTATTTAATAGATAAATACATAATTACATAGTTTGAAATTTTTGAATTTTTCATTATATATCTGCATATCTATTTAATTTTAATCTATATAGTTTAATTATCCATAAACTTTACAATATAATCCAATTGAGGGATAATACGGCAGAACATTCATCCTCAGTAGTCAGTATTACAGTTTTTATATATATGTTATTGGTTGAAGCTAAAAATAAGAGACTTAAAAACTAAAATCATTTTTAATTGATTGAGATTAAATTTTTATCTCTTAATTCTGATGAAAAAAAACATTCATATACACAATATTTATTTCTTCTGTCATAGAATTATTAATGAAATTGAAATGAATTTTCTTTTTTTTTTTCTTTTAAGAAATAACAAAATATAATATTTTTATAATTCTAATGATTGTGATTCGAATTATTGCTTTTTTAATATAATGGTATTTTAACAGTTAGAGTTAGATAACTGTTAAGCATGAAATTAAATTATGATTTTGGTAATGCAAAAGATTAATTCTTGAAATTTATGTAAACTATAAAATAATATTTATTAAGCTGTAACATAATAAGCCGCGCAAAGCGCAGGCCTTTGCCTAGTTAAATAATGATATTCAATGCAATTACCTTTATGTTTTCAATAATAATTGCATAAATCTTAAAATTTAAATGTGAAATAAGATTAGTATATAGTTAGTCTATGCATTTCATTATTAAACATTTTTTAACAAGCTAAAAGCAAGATTAATTTTACACAATGTAAAAAAAAAAAAAAAAAAAGCTAAAAGCAAAGATTAATTTTACACAAATGTAAAAAAAAAGAAAAAAAAAAAAATCAGCATCTTATAATCCCCTAGAGAACAAGCCAAAACAGGATTGAATGGTAGTAAAAGCCACCAATCTAATGCTAAAGGGGGAGGTGTCCACTCAGGCATACTTAGATTCATCACTTCCTAAATAAATAGCAGTGCTTCTGGCTAAGCAGTCTTCTCTTTAAGCTTCACTGCCTTTAAGACTTTGAATAAACACCATGCGGAGAACTTTGTCCATCTTCTTTCATAAAAAAAAAAAAAAAAAAAAATCACAATCTTATAACCTAGAGAACAAGCCAAAAGCAGGATTGATGGTAGTAAAACCACCATCTAATGCTAAATTATGTCCACTCACATACTTAGATTCATCACTTCCTAAATAAATAGCAGCTTCTGCTACATCTTCTTCTTTAAGCTTCACTCCTTTAAGATTTGAATAAACACCAGACTTTCCATCTTCTTTCATTTTGAAAAAATTCATAGTCAACGGCGTTTCAATAAAATAAGAGGATAAGCAATTCACTCTAATTCCAAACTGGCCAAGCTCCGCTGCTGCATTTTTTGCTAGACCTACAATTCCATGCTTTGTACTAGTGTATGCATGAGAAGCAACACCACCTACACTTGAGCAAACGCTGCCTAGTGTGATTATACTCCCTTGTCGAGCAGGAATCATCACTCGGGCTGCGTGTTTGGTTCCTAAGAAAACTCCAATTAGGTTCACCTTAACAACTCGCTTAAAATCTACTACGTCATTGTCAACTATGCTTGGTTTACGAGGATCTCCAATCGCAGCGTTGTTTACTATTATATCAAGTTTTCCGAAAATAGAAATCGCAGTATCAACTGCGTTTTCAATGTCAGATTCTATTGTCACATCACAATGTACAAAAACTGCCTTATCGGTACCGAGTTCTTTGGACAGTGATTGACCAAGATCATCTTGAATGTCGACGATTATTACTTTAGCTCCATGTTTGCAAAAAGTTCTAGCAATGGATGCACCGATGCTAGTAGCGCCTCCAGTTATCAACGCAACCTTACCTTCAAGTCTAGAATTTTCATGTTTTCAAGAAATAGATACATTGATATGTTAATACTTAATAGTAATTAATTAACTAATACTCAATTTGCAAGCATTTGATATAAGCAAAAGAATAGAAATAGTAATGTATGAGCATATACTCTTTTTTTTTTTTTTTCTTACTATACCTACTTTCTAACCAAAGAAATACTCAACTAAGAAATTTAAATATAATAAGAGTAATATTTCAAAGCAACTTTGTTTTGAAAATTAAGAAAAAAAAAAGGTTCTCACTGAACAAAAATTGATTGTATTTGTAAAGAGTTTATTATTATTTGCATTTGACGTTTCACCTAATACACCGGTTGCAACTTTAATTTTAAATTTACATGCTTTATTTTCACAAATTTAAAAAAGTAAATTATTTAATCCTTCCATGAGTTAATGTAATATTAACTGTTAATTATAGGAAAAATAAAAAAATCATCATATATTAACAAAATTCTTAATTTTTTCAAACTCACAGAATTTCAAAATTTTCCAAACCACCATAATTATTCATTGGATTTCCTTCTACCTTTTGTTTTATTATTTGAGAGAGTTTGGATTTTTTGACATATAAGGCTTCCGAATGGTGAGTTCAAGAGAATTTAATATTCTGTAAATATATTTACGCATTTTTTAATTTTTTTTCCCTTATAATTAACTGTAAAAACCACTTTTTTTTTGTGAATAACTGT